ATGGGGGATCCTTGCAGGAGTTTGCATTTCAGCGGTTTAAATTGAAATCCTGAATTGAAATCCTGAATGGAAATATTGAATTGAAATCCTAAATTTAAATCCTACATTCAAATCCTAAATTGAAATCCTGAATTGAAATATTGAATTGAAATCCTGAATTGAAATCCTAAATTGAAATATTGAATTGAAATCCTGAATTGAAATACTGAATTGATATTACCACACCTGGGTTATCACTGGTATTATCACACCTGCGTTATCACACCTATGTAATCACACCCAGGTTAGTATTACCACACCTGGGTTATCACACCCAGGTTATCACACCCAGGTTATCACACCCAGATTATCACTGGTATTATCACACCTGCGTTATCACACCCAGGTTAGTATTACCACACCCGGGTTATCACACCCAGGTTATCACACCCAGGTTATCACACCCAGATTATCACTGGTATTATCACACCTGGGTTATCACACCGGGGTTATCACAGGTTTTATCACACCCAGGTTATCACTGGGGTTATCACACCCAGGTTATCACATCCAGGTTATCAGACCTGGGTGATCACTGGTGTTATCACACCCGGGTTATCACTGGTATTATCATACCTGGGTTATCACACCCGGGTTTTCACTGGTATTATCACACCTGGGTTATCACACCTGTGTTATCACACCCAGGTTAGTATTACCACACCCGGGTTATCACACCCGGGTTATCACACCCAGGTTAGTATTACCACACCCGGGTTATCACACCCGGGTTATCACACCCAGGTTATCACACCCAGGTTATCACTTGTGTTACCACACCCGGGTTATCACACCCGGGTTATCACTGGGGTTACCACACCCGGGTTATCACACCCGGGTTATCACTGGGGTTATCACACCCGGGTTATCACACCCAGGTTAGTATTACCACACCCGGGTTATCACTGGGGTTATCACACCCGGGTTATCACAGGTGTTACCACACCCGGGTTATCACACCCGGGTTATCACTGGGGTTATCACACCCGGGTTATCACACCCAGGTTAGTATTATCACACCCGGGGTTCTCTCACTCATGTTCGTGCTGCNATGGGGGATCCTTGCAGGAGTTTGCATTTCAGCGGTTTAAATTGAAATCCTGAATTGAAATCCTGAATGGAAATATTGAATTGAAATCCTAAATTGAAATCCTACATTCAAATCCTAAATTGAAATCCTGAATTGAAATATTGAATTGAAATCCTGAATTGAAATATTGAATTGAAATATTGAATTGAAATCCTGAATTGATATTACCACACCTGGGTTATCACTGGTATTATCACACCTGCGTTATCACACCCAGGTTAGTATTACCACACCCGGGTTATCACACCGGGGTTATCACACCTGGGTTTTCACTGGTATTATCACACCCGGGTTATCACACCCGGGTTATCACACCCAGGTTAGTATTACCACACCCGGGTTATCACACCCAGGTTATCACACCCGGGTTATCACACCCAGGTTAGTATTACCACACCCGGGTTATCACACCCAGGTTATCACACCCGGGTTATCACACCCGGGTTATCACAGGTGTTATCACACCCGGGGTTATCACACCTGCGTTATCACACCCAGGTTAGTATTACCACACCCGG